CTGAATTTTCCTGACAGTTAGAACAATTAATCAGTGGAATGACTTGACTCCAGAAATTGTAAATGCTTTCACACTGGAAGTTTTCAAGAAGAGGTTGGACAACCATTTGTCTGAAACGATCTAGGGTTTCCTGCCTAAGCAGGGGGTTGGACTAGAAGACCTCCAAGGTCCTTTCCAACTCTGTTAGTCTTTTGGTGTGCCAGGAGTTCTACTGAAGAAAAAAAAAAAAACAGCCTTCATGAACTGTGTTAAGGAACAAGATAAGCCCTTTCCTCCCATTAAATTTGGAACAGGGAACAAAAATCAGCCTGTGTCACTTTTGATACACTCCAGTCCCTCCCCTGTGATTCAGTAGAGAGTATTAGAAGACAAAACAAGTGACATGAGCAATGTGTTCAACAGCCATTAGCTCAGGGCTCTCCCTGCACAGTATTTTGATAGGAACATCATCAGGTTCGCTTGTCTGCTACACACAAAGGAAGACAATTACACACACACACACACACATAGTTCAAGAGGGTCGCACAGTGTGCACTACAGTCTGTGTTGTAGAACTATGAATGGGTAGGATTTTCAGATTTCAGTCTTGGTTGGGAGCATATATATATTTTTTTTAACAGGTTCTCTGAACACCAGTTAAAAGTAGTAGTCCAAACTCGTTTAAAATCTGCTCTGTTTCATTTCTTCTTCTTCTTCATGCATGTTGGGAAGCTGTCTTCTAAAACCCATTTCTTTCCTGTAAAATCAGAAGCACTAGCTCTGAAATACATAAGGCCGTGTGTGTGTGTGTGTGTGTGTGTGTGTGTGTGTGTGTGTGTGTGTAAAATATCCCCTTCCTTTTTTTTACTTCAAGTGAATTATACTTTGCCCCTTTCCCTGCTAGAAAATGATGATGATGATAAAAGCTTGGTCTCTCTCTCTCTCTCTCTCTCTCTCCCTCTCTCCCTCTCCCTCTCCCTCTCTCCCTCTCTCCCTCTCTCCCTCTCTCTCTCTCTTTCATTTTCCAATGCTTGGCTGGACTAAATCATGGCATAGCACAGTCTTCCAGCATTGGTTGCAAGTCAACACAGAATTTGTCAGCATGGTTGCAGAATAAGCAAACAAACCATTTAAGCAGTAGTTTAGACATATTCATTTATTATTATTGCCTCACTGGATTCTGTTCTACTCCAAGACTTGGAGAATTTGATCACCCTGCAGCTGCAGGGTGGAGAGAGGCTCCACTGAAAGCCACTGCATCTAAGAGAACAGCAGCTGACATTAAAAATTGTTTTTGAGGGGTTCTGGCTTGTGCTTAAGCTATTTACTCATGCAAGTCACACTGCTCAGGTTGCGGCTTGCAAGCAAGCGGAAACCATCCATGCAACGTGTAAAGTCTACTGCCCAGTCTTGATATCATGTCGCTAGTATGTGCTGAGGCTTTAAAGCCTTTTTCTGCAGAAATCCAAGGTTTTAATTTGGGGTACACCATACCAAGTAAACACAGCTTTTTTGGTGGGGGGGGAGGTGAGGGACGTGGGCTTGGATTGCCCATGATAAAACAGATCAGGAAATGTCTATTTTATGTTTAGTCAAGGGGGAAAAAAAACTTATGATGTGATGGATGTGATTGAACTGGATGGAAATATCAAAATATACAGGTTTTGCAAGCAGAACGTCAGCATGTGCACACTAAAGGAGCTACTTGTGCAGGACTTCGAAACCATGTTTGTGCCCTAGCTACTCTACCACCTCCAGTTTGGAACAAATCATGGTTTTTCTACTTTCCTCAAGAGACAGATAGAGAAACCTGTAAGAACAACCCACCCAGGCTGATCCACGTTGTTCAAACCCCAAAGGCAAGACTGGATCGACTAGAGGCTAAATCTTACAGACCTGCTCCAGTTTCGGAGCGCTGCAAGGCTAAGCTGCCTGACGCTCTGTTTTCTAGCAAACATTTTTTTGACCTTGCTACAGAAGGGCTACAAAGAAGATCATGGCCTAATCCTAGCAAGGACCTCAGAACCAAGTCACCTTTGTCCCAACACCTGTCCGGTTACTTCTCGGCAGGTGTCACTGCAGATAGAAAATGCAAAGTGAGAAGAAAGAAGGAGGAGGAGGTGAAAGAAGAAGAGGAGGAGGAAGAGGAGGAGGAGGAAGAATAAGAGGAGGAGGAGGAGGAGGAGGAGGAGGAGGAAGAAGAAGAAGAAAGAAGAAAGAAGAAAGAAGAAAGAAGAAAGAAGAAAGAAGAAAGAAGAAGAAGAAGAAGAAGAAGAAGAAGAAGAAGAAGAAGAAGAAGAAGAAGAAGAAGAAGAAGAAGAAGAAGAAGGGGGAGGAGGAGAAGGAGAAGTAGTAGTAGTTGTTGTTCTTCTAGGTTATCTCTCAAAGTCTCCTACCTGAATTATGGACATCCGGCTTGGAGGAACCTCACTGACGTTAGTCCCTTGTCCTGTGAAGCTGGTGTGGCATCCCACGTGGCCTTGGGGCACGCTCAGGTTGTTGGAAGCCGGTTTCAGGAACATGACCTCTGACCTGGGTGAGCTAAGGGGCAGGCGAGTCTGGTAATCAAAATAGATGGGTGAGGTGGCCAAGGATGGGCTGCTGACCACATTCATGACGTTGAGGGGCCCTTGGCTGTCCTCCCCTTCGCTGGGCACCAGCATGATGTCGTTCTTGCTAATCTTCTTCTTCTTGCCCTTGCCCCCTCCGCTGCCCCCACCCCCGCCCCCGCCCCCACCCCCTCCACCCAACTGGGGGTGGCTGTACTCAGCAATACGGCAGTTGTAGGTACGGATGTCCTTGTTCTCACGCTTACACTTCACAGCGATGGTGATCATGGCAGCCAGGAGGATGATGGAAACCGTGCTGAGGGTCACAATCAAGGGCAGCGAGAGGTCCCAGTGTGGCCGGCGGTGCTGCTCCCCATTGACCTGGGGCTCTCCAGCTTCAGGCAAAGGTCCAGCCAAGGCCCGGACAATCAGCTTGGCTACTGCTGAAAGGCTGGGCTTCCCATGGTCACTGACCTTCACCACGAGTTCAGCCACAGGGCTCAGCTCTTCCCAGTAAGGGTGAAGGGTGCGTATCTCCCCGCTCATAGGGTCCATCTCAAAGAGGTGCTCCTCGTTGCCTTCCACAATCTCATAGGTCAGGCGTCCACTTTCCCCAAAATCGTTATCCATGGCCCGGACGGTGCCCACGGGGTAACCCACTCCGGCATTGCGGGGGACCTGGAGTTCAGCAGTGTCATTGATCAGGGCTGGCAAGACAATGAGAGGGGCGTTGTCATTGACATCCAAGACCGTGACCCGGACAGTGGCATTGCTCTCCCGGTGGGGAGAGCCCGAGTCTTTGGCCAAGACGTGGAACTCGAAATGTTTGGTCTGCTCGTAGTTGAAGCTACGCAAAGCGTAGATGGCCCCATTGGTTGGGTTGACCGAGACATAGGTATAAATAGAGACGTCCCCCACATGTCCCGGCAGGATGGAGTAGGAGACGGTGCCATTTTGGCCCAGATCAGGGTCCTTGGCCAACACGGATCCCAGATACTCCCCTGGGATGTTGTTCTCAGGCACTTGCAGCACATAAAGGCTCTTGCTAAAGCGGGGCGGGTTGTCGTTCTCATCTAGGATCCTGACCGAGAAAGACTTGGTTGAGTTCAGAGGTGGGTTGCCCCCATCCCGAGCCAAGATGGTAACGTTGTATTCATCCTGCACTTCCCTGTCTAGGGGCCTGTCGGTCACCACAGTGTACAGGTTGTCATAGTTCTCCTCCAAAGTAAAGGGCACCGCCCCATCTCCCCCACTGCCATCGCTGCCTTGCACCCGGCACTGCAGCTGCCCGTTCTTCCCGGAGTCCCGGTCTGTGACCCTCACCAGGGCAATGACGGTGCCCGGCGGGGCGGCCTCACTCAGGGCCCCCTGGCGCACGGAGACAAAGCCAATGGTAGGCGCGTTGTCGTTCCGGTCCAGTAAATGCACTGTGACTTTGCAATGGGCGGGGATGGGATTTGGACCCAAGTCCCGTGCCTGGACATCAATCTCCACCAAGTTGCCTTCCTCGTAGTCCAGGTTGCCTTTGACCCGGATCAATCCCGTCTGGGGATCGATGCTGAACAGCTCCCGCACCCGGTCGGGCGTGTAACCGCTGAAGGAATAGAGCACCTGGCCGTTGGTGCCCTCGTCGGCATCGGTGGCGTTGAGATCTAGGAGAACGGTGCCCAGCGGGACGTTTTCGGGCAGCTCCACCACGTAGGACGCCGCCTCGAACACCGGGCTGTTGTCGTTGGAGTCGATCAGGCGCACGTTGAGCTGGACCGTGCCGGAGCGAGGCGGCTCGCCGCCGTCGAGCGCCGTCAGCACCAAGGTGTGGTGGCTCTGCTCCTCGCGGTCCAGGGGCTTCTGCACCACCAGTTCGGGAAATTTGGTGCCGTCGCCTCGGGCTTTGACGTCCAGGGCGAAGAGGCCGTAATCATCGCGGGTGAGCAGGTAAGTGCGGAGGCCGTTCTCGGCTGCGTCGGGATCGTGCGCGCTAGCCAGCGGGAAGCGAGTGCCCGGCGCGGCGTTCTCGGAGATGTCCAGGTCGACTTGGTCGGAGGGGAAAGCCGGCGCGTTGTCGTTGAGATCCTGGATCTCCACCTTGATCATGCAGATCTCCTGGTCGTTGGCGAAGACCTCGAGGGAGAGCTGGCACTTGGCGCTCCGGCGGCACAGAGCCTCCCGGTCGAGGCGTTGCTTGGTGTAGAGCAAGCCGCTCTCGCCGTCCACGTCGAGCAGGTGGGGAGCCGAGTTCTCCAGCACGCGGAAAGTGGCCTTGGAGCCGCGGGGACGCTCCAGCGAGGGAGATCCGCCGCTTGACCCGGACTGCAGCCGGGCATCGCGGCCGATGTTCCCGATCACCGTGCCGGCGCCTTGCTCCTCCGGCACCGAGTAGTTCAGGTTCCTTAAGGCCAGGGCTGGAGCCCAGCAGAGGAGGAAGCACCAAGCGGAGAGGGACATCCCAGCGGGCGGCGCGGACGAGGCCGCCTCTCGACCAACGCTGCCGCCGCCGCCGCCGCCGCCGCGTTGGCGCCTGTCCTTTGTAGCCGATCGTCGCGTACCTCCGCGGCGTCCTCCTCCTCCTCCTCCTCCTCCTCCTCTCGCTCTCCCCCCTTCAAGTTCCCGAACCTGTTGCTCGGCACGATCGACTCGGCGCCGGCACCACCATGGACGAAGCCGGCAAAGGGCGGTCGAGACTACAACCAGCGGCCAGGGAAAGGGGGGGGGGTCTCTCTTTTTTTCCTCTAGTCCTCGTCTCCTCCTCCTCCTCCTCCTCCTCCGTGCTGCAGTTTCCCCTTGCTCCGTCCAACTTCAGCGAGGCGGAGGGATGAGCAAAACGCTTAAAAAAAAAAACCTTCCCTTCTGGAGGCGACCGTAAGGAGCGAAAAGATCAGCCCCGTTTTCCCAATGCAGTAGCGGTTTCTTCCAAATATATATACATATGTTTTAAAAATCAAACCCTTCGCACGATGCCAAAGATCCAGAGAAGCTTCAAAGGAAAAAAAAATAACCAAAAAGAGGGAAGGGAAGCAAAAACACGTTTTTTTTTCCTCCCCTGCCTGGAGAATGGGCTCTTTAAAAAAAACTAAAAAAAACCAGGGACTCCTGGATCTCCAAACGACTTGAAAACGGGAGGCGGGGGGGGGGTCGCAAAAGGCAGGATCAAGGAAGGAAGGAAGGCGCAGAACCGCTGGGCCAGATCTTGCCGCTTTCGAATTCAGGAACGGGGAAAGGGGACCAACCGACGTTTTCCGGCTCCGCGGCGTCTCGGCTGTGTGTTTTTTTTCGCCGCGCCGTTTGCTGCCTTTGGAGATCTCATCGCGCCCGTTTGGCTGCTGCGATCAGCCGCAGCATCATCGCGGCTTTCCCCGGGTCCTCTCGCCCAGATCCTCTCGCTCGCCGCTTCCTCACGCTCGCCGGCGCGCTTCGCCTCCTCCAACCGCCGGTTCCGAGGCTCCGGCAGAGTCGAGCGGAAAGAGCCGGTCTCCCCAAAGCGAATCAGAATATAATCTATATATATATATAGTGTCCAAGTCCCTCCGGATTTGTACTTCCGAAAAGCCCGCTTTTCTTTTCCCTGGTGGAGAGAGAGCGAGAGAAAGAAAGAAAAGAAAGAAAGAAAGAAAGAAAGAAAGAAAGAAAGAAAGAAAGAAAGAAAGAAAGAAAGAAAGAAAGAAAGAAAGAAAGAAAGAAAGACAGGAGCTTCGAACGGCTAGAGGTAAGGTTGGATGGATAGAGCCGGGAAGCGCCCTCTGGATCCGAGCTTCCTCCGGCTTTGCAGCGGATCGCTGGGCGGAAGGGCGGCGGGGGGGGGGGGGGGGGGCGGCAGGGATTTAGAAAGGCCACCCGGTCCAAAGCGGCTTGGGAGGTTCCGCCAGAGAGGACAGCAGCCTCCGCCTCCTCCACCACCGGTTTTGCTGGTCTTGGTGCTGCTGGTGGTGCTGGTGGTGCTGCTGCCGCCGCCGCCGCCACCGCCGCCACCACATCGCTCCCTCGCCCGCCCGGCTCCCTTCCTCTCTTTTTTCTCCTTCCTGCCGCTGCCGCCGCCGGTTTGCTGTTGGCTGCCTCGGCGCGTGTCTGCGAGGGCTTTGCGCTTTGCGCTCGCTGCGGTTGAATTTCAATCCGCTCGCCTGCCCGAGCCCTGCCCTGCCAGTCGAGAGGAAATCAACAGGCAACTCATGACTGAGCGCAGAGGTTTAAAAAAAAAAGAGAAAGAGAGAGAGAGAGGGAGTGTGTGTGTGTGAGAGAGAGAGAGCCAGCCGAGGGAGGGGGCGACGGCGAGGATGCACACACGCGCACACACACACACACACACGTATACAAGCGAGCGCGAGCGCGCGCGTCCCTCGAGCCTCTCCAAAAAGGAGAAGGGGGAAACGCGCCTTGGCATTCGTGGAGCGGCTCTCCTCGCTTCCTCCTCCTTTCCTTTCGGCTTAAGGCCACTTTGTTTGTCCTCTCCGGGCCGAAGGGGCTCGCTCTTCCACCCGGCTTCCCCTCTTCCCCGGTGTCTTTAAAAATCCGAAGATGAAAATTCTCCCTTAAAAAAAAGCAAAAGGCGGGAAGGAAACCGATGTATAAAATGTAAAAGCTGCAAGGTGCTTTTTTTTTTTCTTCCCCACCACCACCCTTCTTTCTCTCTCTCTCTCTCTCCCTCCTTTCCTCCCTCTCTTCCTTTCTCTCTCTCTCCCTCCCGCTCTCCCTCCCTCCCTCTCCCTCCCTCTCTCCCCCCCCTCTCTCTTTTTGCGGTACGTGCCGAGCAGGGAAACGAGTGTCGCTTGGCAAGGCAACCTTACGGTTGGATTGGGGAAGACCAACTGGATTGAAGATTAAATTTAAAAAAAAAAAAGATCCAGACAAGCCTCCTCCCTGGATATAGCGGAGCAGAGACTAGAAGTCAGGAATCCATGCAACCCGGCAAAGCCCGGCGTTAAGAGGCCACAAACCGCAGCCGGAACCTGCAAGGTGTTGCTAGCTGCTGGGGCAGGAATCAGAGGGAGCTGTCCAAAAAAAAAGCAGGAGCTTTTTTAAAAAAAAAAGAAAAGAAAAGAAAAAATGGGGAGGGGGGATTCAAAGCGCCTCGTGTGGCGCGTGGCGCGGGCAGCTGCTTTCCTACCTTGCACCTTTTGCACGCTCGCACGCGAACCGAGATGACAAGTGAGAAGGAAAGAAGGGTGTGCGCCGCGATGTCCTTTATTATTATTATTATTTTTTAAAGTCAACCAGAAAAAAATAAAAAGAACCGGAGATGTTGCAGGTCCGCTTTTGCCATCCTTCCCCAGCCCAAGGGGGAGACACAAATAATTTAAACAAAAAACTCAAAATAACCCACCCACCCCCCACAAGTCCCCAGCAGTGGTTGGCCTTGGAAAGTCTTGGCCTCTCTCTCTCTCTTTTTTCCCTCCCTGAGTATTACGTGTGAAACTCCCGACTCGGAAGGCGGGGCACAAGCTCAAACCCACCCAGCCAACCCTAACTAACTCTTCCTAGGCGAGCCAACATCATCATCATCATCATCATCATTATCATTATTATTATTATTATTATTATTATTATTATTATTATTATTATTATTATTATTATTATTATTATTATTATTATTATTATTATTATTATTATTATTATTATTATTTCCAATTTCGACCCGGGGTGGATGGATGGATGGAGCTGGGAGAGAAGAGTTTTTTCTGCTTGCGGTTTACTTCTGCCTCCCCCCCTGGCTTGCGTGGTTCTTCTCCCTTTGGACTGTTGAATTATTATTATTATTATTTTTCGGGGTTGTGTTTTAAGACAACGGGGTGAGGCTACCGAATCCAGCGCCTTCCAATCCGGAGAGGGAAAGCCTTTGGGTCTCAGAAGCAACGAAGCAACAGTTGGGAATGGAAGAAGAAGAAGAAGAGGAGGAGGAGGAGGAGGAGGAGGAAGAGGAGGCGGTGATGGTAGAGGGAAAAAGAAAGAAAGAAATAAACAGCGACGGTAGCAAGCGCCTCCTATTCTGCCGCAGTCGCCCAGGCAGCCCGCCACCTTCCCACCCGCCACGGAGCTTCTGGCGGACTGACTTCCAGTCACCCCACGCGCGTCGCTTAAACATTGATCCCGAGTCGCCACCGGCCAATCCCGACCCGAGGAAAAGGAGCCGGCCTCCTCTAGAAACAGCCAATCCACGGAGGGCGTCTGGCGGAGAAAAGGGAGGGGCTGGGAGACCCCCCCTCCCTTCCCTCCCCTCCCTGCCATGGGAGGGGTGGGTGGGCGCGGAGCCCAAGAAGAAGAAGAGGAGGAGGAGGGGGGGGGGAAAGCCGGAGATCCAGCCGTGCAGAAGGAGCATAAATCACCGTGTTGTTGGGTTGTTGTTTTTTTTCTTTTCTCCCCCTTCCTCGCCTGCTTGGCGATGAGCATCTTTGGAGCATCGCGTTTGCTCCGCCTTGCAGCCTGGAAGCCGGTGGGAAGCTTGGTTATACCTACGCCCAGATGCCCCGTTCAGACGTTGGCCGGCTGCCCGCCCAACCCTTGGCATTTGCGGCTGGGTTACCTAGCGGATCTCCCAGCTGGTGGGTCTTCCTCGCGTCTCCCCCTGCGAGTCCTTGGAGCAACCAGGGCGGAGGGCGTGTTTAGATCGCTCTACCCCGCTGGCGGGGCGAGGCTCGCCAGCCCGCCGCTGCAGCCCACCTGCGTGTTTTATTTTTTTATTTTTATGACTAGCTCGATCCCCGTGCTTCGCTGCAAAAACTATGTGATGGGGCTTAGTTTTGGGGGGGGAAGGAAAATAAGGAGAAATAATAATAATAATAATAATTCTGCCTCTGCCTAATTAACCAGCATCCGTAGGTATTCATCTGGCTAGCATCCTGTCAGGGTGGGTGGGAGAGTTGAGGGCTGTTTGGAAACTGAAGCAATATTTGCTGTGTGAGCAAGGAGACAGCAAGGAACCTGGGCGTGGCTTAGCTCAACTGTTCTGTACTAAAGCTGGTTGCTGGTGTGAAACTAAAATTGAAACTCCTCTGCTTGTGTTTTGCATTGGGAAGAGATTTCTTTTCAGGTGGGGAGGGGGAGTAGAACTCCTTAGCATCAGAGCATATTAATAATAATAATATAGGAAATTCTAATGCTCTGATGGTCCTTTTGAAAAATCCTTTCTTAGTGAGCACCTAAGAAGCGAAGAGGAAGATACGGACCAAATTTCAAGGTTGTAGGCTTTACGGTTCTGGAGATTTTGTGATGATGCGTGAGTGGTCTTTTGCTTTTATAGATAGATAGATAGATAGATAGATAGATAGATAGATAGATAGATAGATAGATAGATACAGATATAGATGATATAGATAGATAGATAGATGATAGATAGATAGATAGATAGATAGATAGATAGATAGATAGATGATAGATAGATAGATAGATAGATAGATAGATAGATAGATAGATAGATAGATAGAGATACAGATATAGATGATATAGATATAGAGATAGATAATAGATAGATAGATAGATAG